AATAAGAAACCATTCAGTGAGGGGCAGATTTACAATACTATAATCATTAAAAATATATTTTTTACACTTTTTAGACAAGATGTGAAACTGCTTAGCACTCTAAATAAACACTATTAGCCAAAATAAACAATTAAAAATACCTCTGTGTGAGACATATCTATAAGTTTTTCATTTATGGAGTCTGTTTACTGAAATAACTTACCATTTCCGTGATATTCTAATTAATCGAGGTGCATCTATAGCTGTTCCTTCTGTTCTCAATCTCCGCGGTTGAGAACAAGTTACATTGTATTTCATAAGAAGTCATTTCGATAAATATAGTGGGTTTCTCATGGTTTCAAAAGAAACAGGGCTCAGTGAGTTCATGTCTACTTACAGCTTCATGTGATGCCAAGACTGAACTGTGCAGCTTCGTAAAGTCATGATGTGTTTAATTCCTAATGGATTTTAAAAGGCCAACATGATATCGTAATGATATGGACTGATTGTAGAGCATCACTGACGCCGGTTATTTATTAGGTTAGCGATGGCACTGCCATGTAATCAAATCAGTGGGGAAAGCAAGCAGTAAGCTATGCGCTACATTGGAAGATAAGCTGCCACAAATCTTCAGTATTGTATTTTGAGATCAAACATCAGATTTATTTTTAATTCTATAATGTGGCTCTTTTTCTTTTCTTTTTTTTTTGGGGGGGGGAGATTTTTTTTTTTTTTTTTTTTTTTTTTTTTGCTGCAACCAGTGTCCGTCCTAGTTTGGAGTCAGATGAACGTCATCTATCCGCACTGCTGTGGCTTGATTTAGTAAATGCCCTGGAACATTTACAGAGACAGCGTTTGAATGCCTCCCACTCAAATACTCTCTCCCTCCAACACCAGCGCTCCTTTGCTTCTCCGCTGCCAGAACTCTCACCATTTCTCACCAGATTCTCCACAGTGCAGAAATCTTCCCTTAGGAGCCATAAAATATACAATTTAATATCACTTATGAAAGATGCCGTTCTCTTGCAATCATATCTACTTCATTTTGTGGCTTATTTTTTCGCCCTCCTGATCACCCTAGATTGTTGTCATTATCGCACTGCTATCTAATTAACGAGCCTCTTATCTCTTCCTTGAATGATATTTTTGCATAAATGTTGTGATCATAGGTATTGTTTCGCCTTGCTGCAGGGCTCCCTATGGAAAGGCTGTGGACATGTGGTCGGTGGGGTGTATTCTAGGGGAGCTGAGTGACGGACAGCCTTTGTTTCCAGGGGAAAGCGAGATTGATCAGGTTGGTAGAGCAGCAGTAGGTTACTAGATTTGAAAAGGAGATGGATTAGAAATATCTTTTTTTAAATATAAAAACCTTTTCCTGTAACTTTTTTCTGTAACCAGTGGAAGCATTTTCCTTTAGGTTTCATGTGTTTTCAAAGCAATTTTAACATAAACTTTCTGTGACAAAACTGGTGTTTTTGGATCTACATGGAGCTGTCATCTGGATAGCTTTCATCGTCTTCTTCAACGTCAATAAGCTGAAATAAAGTGTCAAGTGCTTTTGAAAAACAAAAATCACAGCAATCACTTCTACAGTGACACAAACCAAAGAAAATATCCTCAACTCTGCAGTTTCTTTTCAGCCTAGTCATTTTATTCCGATGTGGTTTTCAGACCCATTCATCCTTTCCATTTTAATGGACAACGAACTACGATGCAAGGCAATGAACTCATTTTATAGACAGCCGAAGAGGTTGGTGAGAGTGGCACAGCCAGCCCAAAGCATAAGGAAGCTGTGCAGTTACTTAAGACTCCCAAATTAACAGGCGGGCAACATGAGCCAAAAAAATTATATACAACATCCTAGATTATTGTTAATACGAAATATATCCGAAATTATTTTACATCTTGACAGTGCATGTTTTTTAAATACTGAGGGACATTCAGCACTGTAGTGTTCTGCTGGTTTAAAGACATGAGGAAATTCAGAATGGCTGATAAACTGTATGGGGTTAACTTACCATATGTACGACAAACTGTTTTTATCTGGTCACCTAAAGTTCCAACTTTAGGTGATTACTTGGAAAATTCGACCTCCAAGAACAAAGAAAATGCACCATAAGTTTCTGCTGCAGTTGCAATGTTGTGCCAAGAATCGGATCAGCTCAGTCTGCTTTCTCGGTGTGCTGATGTTCACCTCCAGCTCTTCACCATCCAGAAGGTTCTGGGTCCTCTTCCTGCTGAACAGATGAAACTCTTTTACAACAACCCGCGATTTCATGGAATCAGGGTAGGAAACGCAAACAGTCTTCCTCCCCTCCTTTTTTTCTCTTCCTTCCTTCTTCTTTCATTCTGTCCTCCCTCCCTCCGCTCTGCTCTCCTGCCTGTTCTTGCTATCCGTTTCATTTTTGTGGCAGTGTTCCCAGCACCATGACTGAGTGGATTGCTGTGACTCATGAGATAGGTGGTTGGTGTTCAGCTTAACAGCAAGAGAAAATGTCCCAGAAGGCTGAGAAAAGCTACGCGTTTGTGAATGTGTGTGCAAACTCAGTAGTTTGTTTAGTGTGATCCGTGTCATACGAACCGAGAGTTACTTTTTTCTTCTTCTTTTTTTTTATTAAAGGGAAGGAACATTTACTTAGTTTTGTGAAGAGTAATATGAGTCTAAAGAAAACGAACAACAAAACCGTTACTGAGGATGAACGTTTTATCCAGGATGTTTTTTTTTGTTTTTGTTTTTTCCTGTCCCAGTTTCCCACAGTCACCCATCCTCAGACTTTGGAGAGACGGTACCAAGGAATTATGAGTGGTTTGATGTTGGATTTGATGAAGGTAAATTTACACTGAAACATTCATGTTTTCCACTTGCACATCTGTTGAAAATCTTCTAAATTAAATGTGTTATTCACTAGATTCACAAGAGTTTTGACCAATAGCTACAAACAACCTTTTTTTGCTTCTTTTTTTCCATCAGAGCATGTTGCTGCTGAACCCCACCGAGCGTTTTCTCACTGAGCAGTGCTTGAACCATCCTGCTTTCCAGCCTTTGAGGCAGACGGAGAGAGAAAAATCTTCTCCTGCTTCTCCAAACCCACCACGCTCGTCCAAGAGAAAAACACACCACCACGGAGAAAATACAGTCCCTACGAGGTTAGCTCTCCGTCATATAGTGACAAAACCCAACTTGTTACAAACTTCATGTTATCATGATCAATTTGAAATGTGATTGGAATTTATTGATTTATTTTTGGTAAATAGCTAAAAAAAAAAAAAAGGCATTACTAAATTAAAGCTGTAACTCACTTACTACACAGGTGTTCTCCATTCAGGCTAGAAATGTCTAAAATCACATTTTTGTACATTTTTAAACCAGAGCAGGTCAGTTGCATTGCAATCCAGACATGTTACCATGGCAACACAACATAAGGTGCAAAAATTTGTAGTGTACACTTCTGAGTGTACACTACAAAGTGCACTCTTAAAAATGTATTTGTGTTGCAGTTCATGTTACGGACTTATTTGCATTAATCTCACTTAATTCTCAAAAGTGTACACTTTTGAGAATTCACTCGAAATCGGATAAACTGAATGAATTGAGATTTTATGATCATAATACATTGAGTTGGTCAGATGTAGGATATGAAACTGGCACTGAGCTCAATTGTTTCAAGTAATGTCAAAGTAAAAAGTTACTTTAAGTTAAAGATTTGTGACTTTCAAGTTAATTGAACACAACAAAGTAAGATGTCATAATGAAAGCAAAAGAATTAAATGAGATAAATAAGTCCATGCTTATGTGATCTAAGAAGTTGAGTTTTTCACGAGTCTCTCTGCCCCACCAGGAGTCACACCAAGAGCACTAGTCGTCAATCAACCAGCAAGGAATGTTCCAGTCTCCCTCGCCATGGAGACCTGCATCACCTCAGCAATGAGAGTTTCCTGAATGGCAACAAACCGGCTCCATCTAGTTTAAGTCCTACACTCCACCCCAAAGTCCAGTACATGTCCCAGACCCTAAATCGTTCAGCCTCGTCCAACAAAGATCTGGCTAACAACAACCTGCCACATCTTCTCAGTCCCAAAGAGGCAAAAAACAAGACAGAGTTTGATTTCAACTTGGGGCCCTCAACAAAGCTGTCAGATCAGGGACATGGGGCAAAGTACACCCACAGCAAACCAAGCTTGTCTCGTTCTCAGCAGCAGCAACAGCAGCAGCAGCAACAACAGCAGCAGCAACAGCAGCAACAGCAGCAGCAGCAGCAACAGCAGGCCAGCCGACACACCTTTCTGGAAAATAAAACCAACACATTGCAGTCTGGAGCAGAAAAACAACATGGCCGCCATGCCCACAGCATGGCAGACTCTGCACACGGATCCATGTCGTCCTCTTCTAAAAGCTCAGCTTCTTATCTAAGCCTGTCCAAGAGCCACGGGGCTCTTAGCGACGCCAAATCTGTGGGGAACCTCAGCGATGGTCGACTTCACCCAGACGACCCAAACGCAAACGCAACAGCCATCGTAGGACCCAGTGCCCGTTTCTTCCCTGCCAGCTGTTTGGACCTCAACGCCCCATCGGGTCTTCCAGGACCCCCCGGCAGTCCCTCAGCTCGACACAGTGACCGATCAGGACACAGCCCCGCTTCCCGTAGCAGCGTGAATGTCCGTATGGAGAGCAGCACGTTGGACTCCTCATCGAGACACAAGTCCAGACACAAATCGTTGGCTCCGGGTAAGTTTAGATGAAAAGATAAATCTGCTTTTGTTCCCATGAAATCTTTGGATATTAGATCTTGAAATATTTTAGTTGGTACAATGACAACGGTGTGTTTCTAGACTATCTCTTGTACGCGAAATAATTTCATAACAATCCAAAATGTTTGCATTAATGATGGGCATTAAAATATTCAGAAATCCTATGGATGAAATAAAAACTGCACTTTTTGCTTTTTCGTATTGAATATTAGAAGATCAAATGACACAGTTGTTTCAAATATTATATGAAAACCACTTTAGAACCCGCAGGTGATGGCGCTCTTCTTTATTCCCCAGAAGATCCTGGTGCTCCAGAGCTCCTAGACCCAGGAGGACCAGTGATGCCCAACACTCACACCCTGCCTTCCCCCCACGAGTCTTATCACTACGGCCTGGGCTACACGTCCCCCTTTTCCTCCCAGCAACGGCCTCAGCGCCACTCCATGTACGTGAGACGGGAACGTCACCGACCACACGGGTCCGAGGGAGTCATGGCGGGCCTGCCGCCGCCTGGCCAGGCCATACCGACACGGGCCAGCAGCCTCCAGCTCCTCTCCCCGCAGCTGCAACATCGTACCAACCTGACTGGACATTCAGTGAGCTCGTCGAGAGAGGACTGCACCGACGACATGACGAGGGTTAGTGAGCAACAAGTTCTGGGTGATTTATGGCAGAAGATGAAAGCATTCACTCTGAGAAAACGCCAACAGAGGAAGTAAAATGTAACTCTAAAATCTTTAGAAAAAATATAATTAATCTAGATTAATCATGTTTTTTTTTTCTTCAATGGAAGGTTCTTTATCTTTTGAGGAAGGGAGTCCATGTTGTTCATGGATCTCTCCAGCTGAACTTGAAACTCACATCTGCATGAAGTCGGTCACAATCGGCAGATTTGGCAGATGAATGAGAAAAATTTTGCAAACATGATTACACTTCTTTAAATGAAGTGACTTCTGCTTATCTTATCTGAAACATAGTACACAAGTGCTAAAGAAAAAACACCTAATAAGTGTTTTTGGTTTTTGTTATTTTTGAGAGCAAACATGTTTCTGTGTGTGTGTGTGTGTGCTGCACAAGCTGCTGTGTGTGTAGGGACTGTCACTGTCACATTGTCATTGCCTCTGCGTCGCTATGCTTCTCCAGTGTGCTTTGACCAGCAACTGTCCGTCTTCTCAACAGAGTGAACAGCCCCCTAAAGACATGAGCCACCCTTGTGCCCCCATCAAAGACTCTACGAGGGACAACTCCGCTGCTTTTCATACACAGCGCTCTAAAAATGAGGTCCGACCCTCTGATTCCGCCTTACCTCCAAATAGCTCTTCTCACTCTCAGGGTTCATAGGCTTTTTTCCCCCGCCCCAACAGCTTCACTGCACGTTGTCGCTGTTTTAAATGTAACCTCACTGAAAAGCTCTTAGACTGTCCTGACTGTCTTGTGAGGTGTGCCAGGGAAAATGATACTGAATAGCAGTCGATGATAAGATTATCAAGATGGAAGAAACTGAAGGAGTTCGTGTGTGTGCGTGTGTTTTTTCTGTGGGGTGTGTGTGTGTGTGTGTGTGTGTGTGTGTGTGTGTGTGTGCGTGCTTCTTAGGTCGGTATGTATCATGACCCTCACGGTGAGGATGCAGGTTCCTCCAAAGAAAACCGGATGATCTTCACTGAGTCCATGCCTCGGAGAGTAGGCAGCTTCTACAGAGGTAAATCCTGTTGTTACACAAAATGTAGTGCAACAAAAAAAAACAACAACACATATTTAAACATGATTTACATCAATGACAAATAGTGTAAATAAGCACAAATTAGCAAAAATGTTGCTTTTCCAGCAGCGGTGCAAGGATACTCTTTAGGAGATTTTTTTAGTAGTCAGAATCTTGTGACAGTATTAATTAGCCCTGTAAAATGGCATAATAAATGTTGAGTGAAATCCTCGGCTGCAATCAAACGCAACCAACAAAATATTTATTTTATTTTATTTTTTCCGTTTGAACTTTACAATGCCGCAACCTGGCCCCATGTGCTGAGCATGAGAAGATGAGAGGAATGAGAAAACAGCAGGGAGAAACATTTTCCAGTGCAAATATATGGCTGATTTTCTACCTGCACAACATGCAGAAAGTCAGAACGCTCACTGAGTGAAGTCCTCCCCCTCAACTCACTCTGCCTGCAGCTAATGGCAAGTCAGATCACATTTAGCTGGACGTTTTCAGGTCGGTCTGTTTAGTTTGGATCCAGGTTGTCGGCTAGCTTGCTAACGGGCTTCTGTGGTCAGATCTCTTCTTTACGTGTTATAGCAATAATCTTGACAATTATTTGATTCTGATTGGCTGGGTCTTGGATTTGGCCTCTCTCTCCTCTGATCTTGGTTTTTACCTCTGCCAAAGTCTGGGTCTTGGTTTGGGTCGGGTCTGATTTTGGTCTCAGGTTGTGGTTTTGACAACAACACTTCATAAAAATACTTCACAGATACTTTCCATCCAATTAATTTTATGTTCCTGGTTAATCACGTTCGGAGTTGTGTGCTGGTTTGTATTTATATTCGTAGTCATGCTTGATATATATATATATATATATATATATATATATATATATATATATACTTCATTTTTTGCCATTTAAGTGGAAGAGTTAAAGCATTCTGCAAATTGTTTTCTGAGTATTTGTGACTCCACAGATGAACCATTGGCTTCAAACACAAACACGCCTCACTATTGTGTGGAAACACATTCTGTCAGTCAATCTCTTCCCTCCTTGTTTTTCTTTAGTCCCTTCCCCCAGACCGGATAACTCCTCTTCTTTCCACGAAGGTGTTGGTCAGGGCAGAGGGCCTGGGGTACCCGTTGTGACCGGTGATCCAGGCGGCATGGCGAACCACTCCAAACGCCAGACGGCTTTTGATTGGTAGGAATCCATACGCTGGCAATGTCTCATTGAAGCAAACATCACAGCCGATCTGCACACAGACCCTGAGAGGCTAAATGTAACTGTTTATTTTTTTGTTTGTTTGTTTTTTTACCTGCACCAGCTGCAAAAATTTTTGTTTGCAATCATACTGGTAGTTATGTGGAAAAGAGCTGGCAACAGATGCAGTGCGCTGATGAATGGAGATGTTTTTCTTCTTTCTGTCTGCCATTATCGTTACTTAAGATCTATTAGAGTATTCATTGTTGCTTAGCTCTGTTGCTATTTATTAACTGAAAGAAAATTAATGAAAACATACCACAGAATACTTTTCTGCAACATGACATTTATTTTCACTTATTATGATGACAGTAGTACTAGAAAAAAAAATTTTTTCATTGGCACAAAATACAGTACCTATTTTCCGCACTATAAGGCGCACCTAAAAACCTTCAATTTCCTCAAAAGCCAATAGTGCGCCTTATAATCCGGTGTGCCTTATATATGGACCAATATTGAGCCACGACAGGTCTAGCAACTACGGTAAGCAGCCGCTGACTTCATTTTTGCCCGTAGAAGAAGAAGTGTGCGGTGCATGCTGGGATAGTTGTCAGAACGCTGGTTTGTTAAAGTTTGACTGACCTATGTAGCTATCTACCTACCGATCTGATAATCAGGTTGTCTGCAGGTCATTTAGCACCACATTCTCCACGAACATGCTGTGCGAGAACAGGTGACCATCGTCCAGCCACGCCCCGGCCCAGTCGCGGAAAGCTCTCCTCGCCAACCGGAGTCGGACTATTTTGTTGACATTCTTTATGTCAACAAAGTGGCTTCAGACATTTGACTAGGGTTACCAAGGGACCAGCCCCTATGCATTTAAAGCCGGGGGGAAGAG